CTCCACTCAAACTCCCGGTTAGGAACCGACTGCCTGGAACCTTTCCTAATTGCTTACCTAGCTCTTGAGTAGTCATCTTCAACTGTTGTTGGAGCTGGGTCTCCAGTCACCAAGAAGTGATGAACCATCCAAATGCAAGGGTTGCATTCCACTCCTGCATCAGAGGGCAAATACTGCAGGAGAAGATGCCACACATGCATGGGGGAAAAGCAGGGAAAATACTACTTAAGCAAGGGGAGCAAGTAAGGAAAGTGAAAATGATACATTGAAGCATGTGGAGAAAAGCGCAACAAACGCGTGCTGATTCATCCCTGACAAAACTGAAGATCACTTGCCACATGAAGCTCCTCATGGTCCAATTTCATTCAAGATCAAGCCTCGAAGGTCCTTGAAGAAATCATAAGTCCGATTCAAGATCAAGTGTTCACTACCCTTGAATCAAATTCCGCTCCAGATAAAAGGAGTAAATTCAGACCTTTGGATCAAGTCTAGTAGAAGGTTCTCCAGCCCAGTTCAAGAACAAGCATGTGGAAAGTTAACAACAAGTAAAACACCTCTTTCGGCAACTCTTCTTACTAAGAGACTGAAGTAGAATGATCAACGATCAACTTAAATGATTTGAAAACAGAGGGAGATACTCATCAGGGGGAGCATCCAAAACAGATCAATGTTTTAACGAGGTAACTGATGTTGATATGTGGGCATCCAAGGGGGAGTGTTCAAAATAATAGTGGGTAATGAATGCCCATGTAGAAACTGAAAACATTGGGTAGATGTTCAATGCCCATAAAAATCAATCTTGACTTAGGAGATGAAAGAAGATCATATTGTCAAAGATGTATGCTTGGAGTTGCTCTATAAATAGAGCACTCCGTAATGCTTTCAAAAATACAGAGAGAATCACGGTAAAGAGAGAGAGGAAAGAAGAGGAGAGGAGATAATAGAGAGAGTTATTCTTGTACTCTTATTTTCAGATTATAATGAAAGCATCAATGCTGCCCCGAGGATGTACTCTAGTCACACTGACTGTAGAGGAACCTCGTAAATTTTGTGTCTTGTTTATTTATTCCACTGCACCCACCATCAATTTTACAACAAGAACATGTTTTTCTTTTCAAAATTTTCCGCTGTGCGTTATCGACTTTTGTACTATTCTTTAAGTTTAAAGTCAAAAGAGAAAAAGGGCATGTGTCCTAGATTTAGTTGACAAGTTTGCTGATTTCATTAACAGTCGGTTTAAAATTCAAATCCCTCGTGACAGCTTAATTAGCTTAGAACTTTCTAATTAGAGATATTCGATTAGTAATATTTTATACAATTTAAAAAACCATGCACTCATAATAAGGGAACTGGATCTCCTTCAGATCTCAATAATCTGAGCCTAAGGATCAATAATTCGAACCGTTGATATTTGATACAATGGTTACAAACAGAGGACTCCTCTAAAGTTATAATAATTGTAGTCGTTTGATCAAATTTTAACGGACCAGATCAAATGATCCTTGGGCTCAGATTATTGGGATCCAGAGAGGATCCGGTTCCCATAATAAGGGGGACATCCCTATGTTGGGAGAGATTCTTGTGTAGAGAATCCAAATTGGAGTAAGCGTGAGAGAGAAAATGGAACCAAAGTGGGGTAAGTGTGAGGCTCAAAATCAGGGAGCCGTTGAGAAATAGATGCTTTTGAGTCTTGATATGTAGGGGACACGTAGTCTAGTTTGTGTATCACATAATTTCTTCTATATTGGATCTTACTTCTCCAAATTAGCTATGGTGGGAAAAATATTAGGGAAATAGACAAAAATGACCCATTTTCTTAATCTTGGGATGAAATAGGACAAACCAGCCATGCAAAAGCCATGCACACCATACACAAGCTAAAATTACTAAAATAGCCACATATAGATACCAGAAACCCTCAGCTCATTGCATCACTTTTCTCATTTGGAAGAAAGGGATGTCGAGAAAACTCTATGAGCTCTGGGTGAGATCAGATCCTGAGCTTGGACTTTGAGGATAGAGAAGTCCAAAGAGCGGTGAGAAGAGTGAGCTAGGTTTTGGGTTGACCTTATACCTTTGATTTTGAACATAGGGATGTCGAGACAGAGGTGAGAAGAGTGAAGTCGAAGTTTTCAGGTTTTAGCTCAGATATGTGAGCTATGTGTGTTATTCTTCCATAACCAAACACAACAAATTGTTTCATCCTTAAAGATAGGACGTATGTACCATATTTTATGTTTTGGCTGGAAAGTTCAATTTTTCCCCGTGACTAAAGCTTTGACAAACATAGTAAGGTAGGGTGTTTAGTTCCAAGTTCCTTCATCAATGATTTATGGATTAAATGGGTTGTTTGTAAGATGAACTAATACTTAGAAGTTAAATTAGGGTTTGCATTTCATGGTGGGGCCTATGGGTTATAGAATAAATTTTAAGTTTTGATTCTACAAAATTGGGATGAAACAATTTCTGGTTCAAGTGTCCAATTGTATAAATTAGTGATTTTTTTCCATAATATGCATGTGGTCTGCATATGGTGTGCATTGCTACATCTTAATATAAGAAGCGAGAATGTTCACTAGTTATGAAACACGTATGTTGTGCCCTGGAATTTAGCGAGTATGATAACAACCTAGTTGGCCTTGGCGAAAAACAAAATTAAGAAAAAGCTTAGAGGACGTTAAAGGTCATGCATGTCCATGAAATAATGGCGAGTATCATGTTTTCCACGTGCACGGTTAAGCGGTGGTTGATATACGCAACAAGACTTTTCAAACTGTCACTGTAACCTTATATATGTAACAATTATGTTTTAATTGTATCCAATATACCAATATGTTATCGTTAAAGTTTCTTATCAATGTGAAAATTAGCTCGTTGCTCGTTGCTCGATCTCCCGTTCTGTGCATATCATGTGCATGTATTGTTTATATGATGTGCACGTGGTGTGCATATAGGGTATATGATGCGTATTTACATATTTGATACTTTTCGCACTCTAACGTAGTTTAGGACATGGTAGACGCTGAAAATAACAAGGATACATAGTCCTTATGTGATTTAATATCATATAATAGTTGGCAATATTCGAAAAAAAAAAGTTGTGAGCTCTGAGTTTTTAGGTTGAGCTCAGATCTTGTAGCATGTCATGTGCATGGTGTGTACATGTTGTGTAAATACAGTGTATAAATGCGTATTTTTACTACTTTTTCCTTTGATTTAGAGGCATGCCCTACATATACAAAGAAAGTGAATGAGTTTGCAAAACAATTTCCTTTGATTTAGTTGGGTTCTTTCATGCCCATTCAAACTACAATTTTCAAATCCTTGAAATATTTGAACTCAATCACATTTGATATCAAATTCTAATCAAAGAATCTTCGGTTCTTCATATTAAGTTGAATCCTATAAATTAAATCAAGTTGAGGATCGCTTTGGAACCACAAAGCGTCAACGATGTTCGATTGTAAGCCATTGCTGCCTCTATCACCATGTCGAAGGTCCCCAGCTAGACCTGGGAGCCTTTGCGATTTAGGTCTCGGATCTTCGCGGCGTACTTGCCCCACGACCTTTGTTAGAAATCACTTTTTGAACCGCAACCGATTTCGTGATGGCTTAGTATGAGCTCGCGAACGAGATCCAGGTTGGGGTGGCAAGTTTTGGATCCATTTGCTTTAGAATTTCAGGCTTTTGCTCGAATTTAAAGTACTTGCCACTAATTAGAGGCTTCAAATTGAACTCCAACGAATTTGCAAGCTTAAATTTGTGGATTTGGGAGTCGTAAGGTCGATTACTTAGGTAGAGAGAGAGAGAGAGAGAGAGAGAGAGAGAGAGAGAGCTTGGAGGAAGAAGATGGGTGGGTTAGAAAGAAAGAGGGAGATAGAGCTCTTGGATAAAGAAGATGGGCAGGTTAGGGTTCTTCGAGCCAGGAATTGGGCGAGAGAGATATTCAGCGAAAGGTGCAAATGACCTTTGGATGGGAGAAAATAACCCATTTATATAAGGGCAATTTGGTCATTTCAAGGTGTAGGGAAAATTCTATTTCTGTCCTATTGTTGTGCTTGGCGTGTGCATACTCTGTGCATATTTGAAAATTCCTGTTTGGTCCCAAGATTAAGAAAATGAGTCATTTTTGTTTATTCCCAAAATATTAAGGCAAGCCTTCTAAGTATAGATTCCAAGAGTATCCCCAGTGAGGGGCTCTAAATGGGGTTGGAAAAGTGGTGGATATAGCCCATTTAGAGCACCGAGAAATCTTTGAGGCTCTGTAGAAGAATCTCTCCCAATGAGGGGCTATTTATTATCGGGGCTCTAAATATTTGTTTATGTAGTAGTCTGATTACACAATAAAATTTTTTTATGTTAACTTTTCTTAAGTTAATTTTTGACGTGTTATCTCAAATAAAAAAATTATGAACATTTCAACCTAAAAAATCCAAAATCTAACAAAATTAGATTTCATCACTTGTGAACCTTTGGGTTAGGTTATCTTGTCTCAAACTTCCTCGTTGGTTTATTTATCTAAAATTAGATAAGATAAGATTTTATCTCATAACTAAATTGTAATGCCCTTGCAATTTAGGGGTGTTGTTTTTTTATGTTTTCAATTTAGGTCACTAAACTTCCAATGTCGTTTTAATATGTAGTCTCTAAACTTCCCCCGTTTCTTTAGCTTCCCAATAGTCTTCCAAAGAGAATAAAAGGCCCCAGTAAAGATGGAAGACAGACTGATTAGAATCCAAAGACCATGCACCTTGTACGCATTCTTGAAAGAAAATAAACATTTTGAATCAAAGACCATGCACCTCCTACTTAGTCACTAATATAACGAGAGTCATCAACAGAGGTCAGAGGCAAATTGACATAAGATGATCTATAAAAAGCACAGCTGATCAAACTCACCTACAATGAAAAGGCAAAACTCATTTATAACGAGAACACAAAATTTACCTATAAGGCAAGACTACATAACACAAACAGGTCAACTTGAGTTTTAAATTGGATTTATTACAAGGATAAAACAACAAGCTCTCTCCTTCTGAGAGACTCTTCATCGTCTGTGTGAATTTTCTAGATTTGGCAATTCTTTCTACTGCCAACCCTCGCCGTGGTCAGGGCTGGTGGCAAACCTTTTCCCTTTCATTTTTTCTTTATAACTGTTTTTTTTTCTTTCTCTCTGTTTCGATGGTAGGTCCTATTCACCAACCCAATTTTCTTTGTCCCAAACCTCTTCTTATCATATTAACAGACCTAAACTCTAGTCAGAGAGCCCTCAATTCCGACATTCCTTTTCCTTTTCTCCCTACTGTTTTCTTACCTCTATGTTTACATCCAATCTATCTTCTATCTCTCCCAATTCGCTCAAGCATCATTCGATCCCATAACTTTCTGGATCTAAAACCATTTATTTCCACCACATTTTGAGGCTTTACTGGAAGGTGTACAGAGCTCCCGCGGCTAAGGTGTTCACACTATAACCTTCTTTGTGTGTGCCGTTTTTGGCATAGTTTCTTGTAGGATGCTTGTTTCTACAAGTTTCCTTATATTTATGGTTCAGATTTGTGTGCTGCTTTTTCGAGGACGATGGAGTTAATTTTCTCCTTGTTTGTTTCTGGGGCATTAGGTGATTGGATTTCAAGCATCCTCAGGGGGTGCGGGTTTGTGCAAGGTAGATGGTGCTCCGATGGCGGCAGAGTCAATGCTGCTAGGGTTTTTGGCTTTGTGTGTTTTTTTTTTTTTTTTTTTTTTGGGGCTCCAAACCATGTGTTAGGCTCTTTGTTTGTGCTGCTTTGAAGGTTAATAGTTTTGCTATGTGTTTCATTTATAATTGAGCCTCTTTTTATGTACATTTTTGTGTTGCTAATAAATTTTACCTTCCACGAAAAATAATAATAATAATAATAATAAGACCAAGAACACCACTTGTTACCCATGATGCTCTGTCAAGACTATAACATAACCATATGGCTTCGCCTCGAATAGAAAACTAAATGACAACATATTGGATGTCACCTAAACCCAAGATAATCATTGATTTCAATAGATGGACAACAATACAATAGATACTAGAAATAGGCGGAGGAGGAAATGAGAGAATTGGAAGGACTACCATCGATCTCAAAGCCAAATGCAAGAGTCGGCGGCTAGAGGCAAGGCTCTTAGATCTTCTCTCCTTCTTTGCCTCAACTAACCCATCAACTCACTTTAAGTTTTATTTGTAAGAACTTAACCTATATAAACGATGAAGAAGCCACGATCTTCAAAGCTGACATTCTCCTCTCTACAAGTTTCTCAGTGCTCAAAGCTCAACTAATAATAGGCTTTTGGTTATACAATTAAGCGTATCTCTGTGAGACCAATGACCGTGGATGCAAATTTCTTTCTCCTTGATCTTGGACAAAATTGCACCTACAAAACAACTAACACATTTGGTTAAGGCCAAAAACCTCACGCACCCATGATGAATTGGGGGGGGGGGGGTTTGGCCGAAGAATCTGCGATGCCAAAGTTAGAATTTAGAAAAAAAAGTGTTTAGAGAGTTTTTGGGAGTTCTGCAAGAGTGTTGGAACTAGCTTTTTAGAGAAAATGGAGTCCTATTTATAGAGCATGACCGGCCCTCTTTGGAAGAAAGAGTGGCCGGCCCATGGGTATTTTTGGGGGTGTAATGGATGATTTAATTGGTGATTAATGGATTAATTAGGAATTAATCCATTAATTAGCCAATTAACTTCCACTTAAATGGAATGTTATGTAGGTTATAAAATAATTACCTAAGATTAGGATGGATGAGAATATCTTTGAATTTGTTACCTATTTTGGACACTTTTGACTTGATTGACGGATGATGGTGCGCTGTTCGCGCGTAGGAATCCCGGTATGCCTCAAGGGTATTTTTGTCCTCTTTTACCCAAAAATCCACGTGTTGCATTGTGATTATTTTTGGCTCCACAAATGCCCCCACACCTATTGGGCTGCTCACAGGAAAAGGCAGCAGGTGTAGAGATCTTCTTGCTTTAGGAAACATAGGACTGCTTCCTTTTTTGATGTAGATTCCCTCTTTAATAGGAAATTAGATCATTCTAGGAAAGGGAAATAAATTTCTCTCAAAGTCTATTTAAGTCCACCTTAAGTGGGTTATTAAATCAACATTGGAGAGCGATTTACTCTACCCTACAAGAGAGAGAGCTTAGAAGAAGATATTTGTTCCCTTTCCTCTAACAATCTTCTACATCTTGCCCTTGCAAAGGGCTGTCTTTCGTTGATTTCTTCGTCTTCTCCGTACTGCACCAATGTAAGAAAAAATTAATTTTTCTTATCTTCTTCTTGGATAGTGTTGTCGCGGGGCAGCCATCGAAGTGATGCAGCACGTCAGCTGGCAGAGGCCAGGATTCTACTCGGCATGGGCCGAGGAGGTGTTATGACAGGGACCACGACTTGGGCAACTCGGCTTGGCTAAAGTCAAGGGCAGCTTGTGCTGTTAGGGCTGCAGATTGTGGTGCTAGGGAGCAGTGCTAGGCGAGCCATATGGCTCATGTCCTTTGGGCTCTTGGACCTGACTCGGGCCAGGCTAGCGACTAAGAGAAATGAGGAGGTCGTGGGAGCTCATGAGTTGCTGGAATGCTCGGCATGCAGGCCTCTTGCCTGCTAGAATGCTAGGTTGAGCTCATCTACTAAGAATCATGAATGTCGTTGGCTGCTTAGTTATCTTCGTCGGGAGAAAGGTAGGCTGCCCCCAAAAGATGAGGCAAAGAGGATTAAGACGGATGCATTGGCTCATTTGATCGTTGTCGTAGAGCTTACTATGAATGAAGATAGAAAGAAGAGATCTTCCTCGCCTGCTCAAGAAAGAAAATTGAAAACTTCTTTCACTGCTCGTGAGGGTCCACCTGCTGCCGAGAGGTCTGTGATTGGCATGACTTCTTCCGATAGGAAGAAAAATGAAGCTGCTAGATATGAGCATGTGGCGCCTGCCATCGAGAATAGCTAGTACAATTGCTGATAGGATTGCTCAGTGTAGAGGTCCTGTCTTGCCCCCAATGTCAACGTCTGTACCAAGACGTCCATTGGGAGCTAAGTCTAGTTCACCTTCGGCGAGGCTTGTTATTAAGAAGAGCGATAAGGTGGACTCTCTTGCTAAAGTGGTGCTAAGGCCCACTCCCTCTGCTCTAGAGACTGACTCGTCTGTTGGGAAATAGGAGATTACTAGTGTGGGCAACTATGAGAAATCCACTAAGCTTGCTTCTAAGGAGGCTGCTGAGATCTATGTGCTTTTAAGACCAGATTTGCTTAAAGACATGGACGCTTGTGCCAAGTTTGTTGATGGCGTTAGAAAGGTTATTTGCCCAAGTTCATTTGCGAAAGATACGACCCAATATAGAATGACTGCTCTGCTTGCTATGATGCAGATGTAGCAAGGTTGCCAAGGAGGTGGCGAAGACTATGGCAGCTGAAGCTTATTCCTCGACTAAGGAGATCAAGAGGTTAAATTCTGAGCTCGTTGCTTTGAAGGGGTCTAATATTAAAACCCCCACTTATCTGCAGCTTGACACCACTCGCCAAGAGATCGTTGACTTGAAAACTAGGCTTGACGTGATCCAAGTTAAGTATGAAAGTGCAGAGAAGGAGATTGGATGTTATATACCTTAGATTCAAGATCTTGAGTTTGTAGTTTCTGTGCTTCGTTTCGCTGCTTATGCAAAGGATGAAGAGTTAATTGCTGCTTCTAATCAAGTGATCCACTTCAAGAGAATCGTCGATAGGCTTGAACACCAAGTGTTGGAACTTTAAGGTGTACTGAAGATCAACGAAAGTCTTAAGAAGGAAGTGGATGAGCTATAGCGCGTTAGTGTTGGTCTGCTTGAGGAGAATGAGCATCTGAAGGGTGAGAATGATGGGTTCGAGGTTTCGAAACCTTTTCTATTTCTTCGGAAGACTTGCTTACTTTTACTTTTGAGGCTTCCATTGGTGAAGTAGTTGGAGAAGTTGGTGCCCAGGCTAGGGTAGCCGGGGATGAAGCGCTGGATGATGTCGCTATTAAAAACGTCACAGCTGCTGAAGGTATGGCGACTGAATAGTCGTGGGATGTCCAAGCTGCTAAAGTGTAGTCCTCTAGGTAGCATTTGGGATTTTCTTTGTTTTTCCTTGTAGCTCTTGTTTTGCTTGAACTCCTTCGGTATTTGCTAATTGTTTATAAACATGCTTCCTTCGTTTTTCTTCATCTTCGCTTCTTTTGTTCATGCCCTAACCTTTAAACTTTATAGACCAGTGGCAAGCGTGCTACTTTTCTATAAGTAGACAGACCTGCGTAGCCTATGCAACCGTAGGTGTTGGTGTAGAGCTTTGCAAAGTTGTTAGCCATAGGGTTGGCAACCGGATGCCTTACTTACAGAAGCAGAGAAGTCCGCATAACCACTAAGTTGTTAACCTTGGCTTTCTCCAATTCTGTAGGTTGCATAGCAAGTATCACAATGCTTCCTTCGTTTTTCTTCATCTTCGCTTCTTTTGTTCATGCCCTAACCTTTAAACTTTATAGACCAGTGGCAGGCGTGCTACTTTTCTATAAGTAGACAGACTCGCGTAGCCTATGCAACCGTAGGTGTTGGTGTAGAGCTTTGCAAAGTTGTTAGCCATAGGGTTGGCAACTAGATGCCTTACTTACAGAAGCAGACAAGTCCGCGTAACCACTAGGTTGTTAACCTTGGCTTTCTCCAATTTCGTAGGTTGCATAGCAAGTATCACAACACTTTAGGACTTGGTGTAGGTTACTCCACGCTCGGCAGAGGTGAAGTTTATCGACCACGTAGCATGTCGATAGTGGATAAAACTTCGTGTATGCACGCTAGCTTGTTTAACCTTTCACAAGAATGTGCGGTTGTATAAGTCTAGCATGGTTTTACTTCTCGAATGGCAAGCCGTAGGCAGTCTTCCGAAAATCTTAGGCTACCTTAATGCACTCGGTAACAACTTTAGAGTTCAAGGGTAGCCGTCTGTAGGGCGTGTTGCATAATGTTCCCCCTCCATCTCTAGGGCTCGGTTCCCCGCTGATTAGGCCAAGAGACCCAAAATCCTTCAGCTAGCTAAGCCTTGAAAAAGACCATTGTGGCTATTTCTAGGAATCCCGACGGAAGCCATTGTGCATCTAGTTATACTAGGGCAGCCAGGCTCATCCACGTCTGGATTTTCGGAGTGTAAAGTTTATCTTCTCGTCTTGGAGAGCTGACCCATGTGGGTGTCGGGGAATTGGTTTACCCTCTCGCACTGGAGAGCAATTAGTTTACCCTCTCGCATTGGAGAGCATGGTTGGTCACTCAGAGGGTGTAATTCCTGCGATGAGTCCCTAAGAAGGGCGTGGTCTTCTTTTGAAGTGCAGGAGTGAGCAGTTGTTGTAAGCATGCAGTCGAGCCAAGTTATGATTACTTCTGAATTCCTCATTGAAAAACGAGCGAAACGAACGAGAACTTAGCTGTAAGGTAGGAACTGCATAACAACTGGATTGTCCTCGGCTTGTGAGGTGGTGCCTGTCGAGCTACTTGAGTTTTCGGGCTTTGATATAGCGGGAGGTCACACATGGTACTTCCTCAGATTGTAGGCGTTCCACTGCTTTTCGATCTTTTTGTCGTTTCATGGTGGCAAAGGTGTAATTACTCTTGATGCCTACTCTGTTGATCTTGTATGGACCTTCCCGGGATCCATCTTTTTGGAGCCTTCTCTACGGGCAGTAATGAAGGCTTTTCTTAGGACTAAATCTCCGGGCTAGAACTGCCGGATCTTAGCCCTTTTGTTGTAGCTGGAGATGAGCTGCTGCTGGTAGGCTGCAATGCGGGTGCTGGTTTGCTCGTACTTTTCCTCTGCCAGATCTAAGCTTGTGACCATCTCCTTACTGTTCTGCTCAATGCTTGGTAATAGAGCGGTGATACTTGGCTTGATGA